TGGTAGCCCAGGCTGGCCTCGAACTCACAGAGATCCACCTGGCTCTGCCTCCCGAGTGCTGGGATTAAAGGCGTGCGCCACCACCGCCTGGCCATGATCTTATATCTTAAATTAACCCATTTCTATTAATCTATAAGTTGCCACGTGGCTCGTAACTTACCGGTATCTTAACATCTTCTCATGGCGGCGGCTGGCAGCGTCTCTCTGCCTCAGCCTTCCACTTTCCAGAATTCTCTTTTCTGCTTGTCCTTCCTATACTTCCTGCCTGGCTACTGGCCATCAGCATTTTATTTATACAGAGCGATCCACCCGGCCAAATCCACCTGTACTATGCTCATCACACCCCACTGTTCCCATCACTGTCACTGGGGACACTCTCTTTTCTCCTCCACCTGGCAACCACTACTCAGCTTCAGCCCTGGCCCCACAAACAACTCCATGCAAGTAGCCCTTAAAGGGATGGGGGTAGCCCTTAAAGGGAAGGTATCAAAATGACAGTGAACATGAGACTTTAGTCATCGGATTGCTGTTGCTGCTATTCAAGTCCTGTCTGTCTCCTTCTGTGGACGAGCGTTTTGTCTGTGTGTCTGTCTGTGTACTACGTGTGTGCCTGGTGCCTGTTGGGGGCCAGAAGAGGATCCCCTAGACCTGGAGTTACATGGTTTTAAGTCACCATGTGGATCCTGGGGGTAAAGTGCTCCCCTCAGAAGCAGGAGACCCTGAGTTTGATCCCAGCACCAGGGGAAGCTTGTGTCTACACTCCCAGCACTGCAGGCAGTAGAGACAGAGGGCAGTAGGGCTGGGGGCCAAGCAGCATAGCCCAAATGGCGAGCCCCAGCTCTCAGTGAAAGGTGAGCTGGAGAGCTGGCTCAGAGACACTTGCTGTCCTCCCAGAAGAGCTGGGTTCGATTCCCAGGACCCACAAGGTGGCTTAAAACCATGTAACCCGCCGGGCGGTGGTGGCGCACGCCTTTAATCCCAGCACTTGGGAGGCAGAGGCAGGTGGATCTCTGTGAGTTCGAGGCCAGCCTGGGCTACCAAGTGAGTTCCAGGAGAGGCGCAAAGCTACACAGAGAAACCCTGTCTCGAAAAACCAAAAAAAACCAAAAAAACAAAAAAAACCCATGTAACTCCAGTTCCAGGGGATCCTCTTCTGGCCTCCAACAGGCACCAGGCACACATGTAGTACGCAGACAGACACGCAGGCCAACATTCACACATATGAAATAATAAATTTTAAAAATCAGAAATTAAACCAAGTGTGGTGGTACATGCCTTAATCCCCGCAGGCAGATCTCTGTGAGTTTCAGGCCAGTCTAGTCTACACAGCGAGTTCCATAGCAAGTTCCAGGACAGCCAAGGCTACATAAAGAGACCCTGTCTCAAAAACTTCCTTTAGATTTGTTTATACTGAGCGGATGTATGCTCGTGTGTAGAGAGCAGGTCAGAGGACCACCGTCAGGAATAGGCTCTCCTCCTCTGCTGTGTGGACTCCAGAGTCTGGACTCAGTCAGCCTTGCCGGCAGGCACCTTTACCCACTGAGCCATCTCACTGGCTTCCTCTACACCCCTCTTACTGGACATTTCTAGTATTTCCATAATGATTCCATGCTTTTATGTAACTTGCAAACAAAACTAACTAACATGAAGTGGTGCTCAGGAGAAGGGTGCAATTTCTGGGAGGGGAGCCACCTTTGAGTTCTAACTCTAGCTTTAGTAGAAGCTTTCTAGAAACTTCTGAATAAATCCTATCCCTGGTCAAGTACTCACACAAAGAGGATTAGTTGTAAGGAGCCACTCTGCCACCTGGTGGCAACGCTTGGAACTGCAGCTTTCTTTCCACCTCTCCCTGTTCCTCACCCCACTGCAGCTTAGTGTAACGTTACAAAAAGTGGAAAACAGTCTTCAGATAAAGATGCAGAGGCTGAATAACCACAGCCAAGGGGCAGAGGTGCTGGTCACAAGTCAGGTGCTCTTAGCCTAGGTGACAGAGAGGTCTTGTCAGAGTTGGACTGAAGATTTTCTACTCAGCAGTTCCTCAGGAGCCACAAGCAGGGTGACTAGCGCGGGGTGGGCCAGTCTGTAGGGCACTCGCCGGAGGGAAGCCGGCAACTGCCTTCCAGAGAGAGCACCAGCTCAGGCACCTGCTGGGACCCAAGCTTCCCAAAGGAAAGGGAGCAGGGCCAAGAGGGGCCGGAGGAGAACCAGACAGAGGCCAGAGGAGCGAGTACCGGCTGCCCTTGCAAACGATTCTAGGGTTCCCAGCACCCACATGATGGCTCACCATCCGTAATTCCAGCTCCGATTACGGAGGGATCCAGTGCCCTCTTCTGAACATCACAGGTACCAGACACATATGTGGTACACGCATACGCGCAGGCAAGACACTCATACACACAAGATAAATAAACCTAAACAAAAAAAATTTTTAAATAAATCTTTTTAAAATGAATTAACACAAAATGGACTTAAAAGGTGGCAAAACAGGGCTGGAGAGATGGCTCAGTGGTTAAGAGCAGTGATTGCTCTTCCAGAGGACCTGGGTTCAATTCCCAGCACCCACATGGCAGCTCACAACTGTCTGCAACTCCAAGATCTAACACCCTCACACAAACATACAAGCAGGCAAAACACCAATGCACATAAAATAAAAATAATAAATTGTGCCGGGCGGTAGTGGCGCACGCCTTTAATCCCAGCACTTGGGAGGCAGAGGCAGGCGAATCTCTGTGAGTTCGAGGCCAGCCTGGGCTACCAAGTGAGTTCCAGGAAAGGCGCAAAGCTACGCAGAGAAACCCTGTCTCGAAAAACCAAAAAAAAAAAAAAAATAATAATAATAATAATAATAATAGTAATAATAATAATAATAATAAATTGTTTTTAAAAAGGCGACAAAACCTATCTGATTAAGACATCATGCATAGAATCACTGCAATATCCAAATGTTCTTTGTGGATATGGAGTGGACTCAGGCGTAACACACCTTCCTAAGCGGGTAACGGTCCCTTAATGGCTCTTGTTCACGTGTCTAAGAGCGCTGGCCTTTCTCAGGCAGACCCTCCGTTCCCAGGGTTCCCTCCACCCTTCTTCTGGGCAGGATTCAGAGTGGCACTTTACCAAATGTCTGAACAGGACCTGCACTTGGGCAGCGGTCCACAAGTGTATCCCTGAGTCAAAGATGGATTTATTTACACACACTCCGTGTCTGAGGCGTAGGACGTCCCACCGCCTTGCACTGTTTCACTTAAGAACTCTGACTGGCCTAAGCCTGGTGGTGCACACCTGCAGTTCCAGCACTCTGGGAGCTGGGGGGGGGGGGGGAATCGTTCAGGGCCACCCTTGGTCACATAGTCAGCCTGAGGCCAGCCTGGGCTACATGAAACCCTCTCTAAAACTGCACAGACAGCTTCCCTGAGGCGGCCTGACAGCCATCCCAGTGACTCCCGGCTTATTCTCTTTTATGTGCCTTTAAAGGGACTCTGACCCCTAGGCCTCAGCCCCTGGCTCAGTGCTTCTCCTCATGAGCTGAGTGTCTGAGGCCGGAGGGCACCAGCCCTGGCCAGTCCTAGAGTGTACAAGATGGTTTCTTGGACCACAGAGCGAGCAGCCAGCCTCTGCTGGGTTCGGGTGAGGCTGAACTAAGTGTTTCTCAGTGAGCTACAGCTCTCAGGGGAGCTGTCTGCCAGTGTGCCCACAGTCTGGCAGAGCTGGCACACTTCTGGATTTCTGATTTGGGAGACGTTTCCCTCCTGCCCCAGGAGCCTGTGCATGTCTGGCTGTGCTAAGGTTCGATAGTACTACCCACGGGAGGTGGCGGCACTACCCACGGGAGACCTGTCAATTTCCCGGGGCACAGAACTCAGGACTTCCCACCCAAGGTTTGAATCAACTACCTCTGAGAAGTCTTCCCGAGTCCCACGTCCACAGCCTGCCTCAGTGGAGCTAAAGGGTGGGGACAGGAACCACAGGCTGCAGCTGATCCCTCAGCTCTCCAGGCTCGGTTGCTGTTGCAGGTGTAGCCTTGGCTTGGAAGGGCTGAAAATCCACCTTAACACTAGGACTTGGTGCCTAGTGGAGCCTGACTCCCAGATGGGGTGGGACCAAAGTCACTTCCCCCCTGCCTCCCCACACCCCTGCCCGCCCATCTCCAAAGAGTGAGCAGAGCAGGCCAGGGAGAGACAAGCAGAGCCCGACTTTGGGACTGAGGTTGTGGATGTGGTAAACGGGGTCAAATGTCTTAGACAAACCCCAAGGTCTCCCCAGAACCCAGCTCCTGGGGTGGTGCACTTGCCTAGCGAGTAGGGCCTGAGTTGAATTCCAGCCCTGCAATCAACAAATGCTTCCTAAAAAGCAGCTTTGTTCTGCTCCTGCCTCCCCCACGACACAGCAGCGGCTCCCTTCCCTCCCCGTCCGACACCTCCCCCTCTTACTCTGAGTCTTCCCCTGGACTGCGGCCTGTGCTCCCTGCCAGGACACAGAGCCTTCCCTCAGGACCGAGTCCTGCCGACCTGATGACGTCCTCCGCGTGGCTGGCTGGAGCTTCACTGACTGCTCCTCTATTGGCAAACCCGGGGCATAGCTCAGCCTGGGGACGAGTTCGGGGACAGGCTCGCTGTCAGCCGCCTTAGGTCAGGTGGGGAGTCCGGCCCACCTGCTACTGCACGGGGCCGTTAGGACATCTTAACTGCTGAGCCTCTCCCCAGCCCCCAAACCAAAGGTTTCTAATGTGTCCAGTCCACCTTGTCTCTTAGAACCTGGGGCACTAACACCACCGTCTCCACACTTACTGGCCTAGTTATCTCCACCTGCATATCTAAAGTTCCTCTTCTTTCTCTCCTCTTGCACCAGGGCATCCTCTGGCCCAGCTGACCTCAAACTTGCTTTGTAGCCAAAGATGCCGTTGAACCCGACACTTCCCCGAATGCCGCCGGCATTACAGTGCGTACCACCACTGACCCAGTCTGACCGTTCAAACTCAACGTCCTCCACACCAAATCCCTGTCCTCCCCACACATGTGCCCCACGGCACCCAGGAGTCATTCTGATCCTTTTCTCTCTGTCAATCCAAACCCAGCTGTGGTGGTTTGAAAGAAAATGGCCCCCAAAGGGAGTGGCACTATTAGGAGGTGTGGCCTTGTTGGAGGAAGGGTGTCGCTGTGGGGGCGGGCTTTGAGGTCTCTTCTCAAGCTTCCCTCAGTGTGACAGTCAATCGACTTCCTGCTGCCTCTGGGTCAACACGTAAGGACTCTCAGCTCCAGCACCATACCTGCCTGCACGCCATCATGATCATAATGGACCGAACCTGAAACTGTGAGCAAGCCACCTCAATTCAATGTTTTCTTTATAAGAGTTGCCGTGGTCATGGTGTCTCTTCACAGCAACAGGAACCTAACTAGAGCTGGGCGGTGGTGGCGCACACCTTTAATCCCAGCACTCGGGAGGCAGAGCCAGGTGGATCTCTGTGAGTTCGAGGCCAGCCTGGGCTATGGAGTGAGATCCAGGACAGGCACCGCTACGCAGAGAAACTCTGTCTCGAAAACAAACAAACAAACAAATAAAAACCTAACTAAAACACAAGCCCATCGAAGAACCTGGGCTCTACTTGCAAAAGGTCCCAAACATGGCCACCTTCCCTCCACTGTCACCCCCGTGACCACATGGCCCTTGGAGAACTACAGCAGTGTCCAGGGTGGCTGCTGTGTCCACACCCCACATCCAGAGGCTACCCAGAAGCCGGAGCGGTCTTTAAGATCACGCCCACTCCTAAGAACCCGGGGGTGCTCACAGCAGCTGCCAAGCCCTTCCTGAGGTCTCTGACCTGACCGCACCCCGCTCTTCACTGGCCACCACGCTCCAGGCCTCGCTCCACAACCCTTCAACGGCCAGACGTGCAGCCGATCCAAAGCTCCTCACTGGCCGCTCCCTCCACCCTAGTGGCCGCACGGCTTGCTCCCTTACCTCCTCAAGCCTTTGCTTAAATGTTACCTTCTCGGTGAGCTCATCCTGACTCTTCATTTGAATCTGTGGTCTCCCTTCTACCACTAAGGACGCCTGCTGGACCATGCAGGACCCTGAAGCAATGCCCACTGATCACCGGGCACCTCTAAACCTCCAGAGCTGTCAGCTGCCTGTCTTCCCTCAGCACGTGGGCTGTGAGAACAACCCCCTGCCTGCTTCTCTTCCCAGGATGCCCTGGGTCTCAATGGTGACTCTCAGGGCAGGTCTGGAATCAACCCTTGTCAATGAATGAATGAGGGATTTCTCTCTCTCTCGGGCCTGGGCAGCCACTCTCCAGCCTTTTGGGGACAACCATCCTTCTTACTGGGAAGACCTCAGGCCCCAGGGACGCCTTGCCCACTGGAGGGCAGCCTCCCCTGAGCACCCCTCCCTCCCACCCCCAGACAAGCATCTGCAGCAGCACCTTCTGCCCTCACACGCCAAGGACTCACTCCCCGGCCACGCACCTGGAAGTCTTCCTCATCCAAAATCTCCTTCCGCCACTTGATCAGGAAGGCCGCGCACACGTAGAGGTGGAAATGCGAGAACCCTTCGGGCTCAGACTGGGGGAGAGAGGAAGAGTCAGGCAGGGCTCGGAGCCCCAACAGGAGCCCACGGTGGGGCCCTCACGTCAGAGCCATGGAGGTGGGACACCCCGCCCAGCAGACATAGAACTGAAGGCGGATGGATGGAGACTTTCAAGCCACCACACTTGGCAGGGAGCTGGCCACAGGGAGCTGGGGGCAAGGGTCCCTGGTACCTGATAGGTGTCCCACAGGCGGATGGTGCAGCGCAGAGGCAGCTCCCGCATCAGCAGGTTGTTCATCCACCGGAAGGCGAACTGCAGGTACTCCACCTCGTACCTCCTGAAGTGACTGTGTACCTGCTCTGGAGGGGACACGAGTCAGGAGCTGCTCTGGCCATGACGTGAGAGACAGGAGGGGAACTTGGCTGCTGGGCCTCATTACACCTCAGGGCAGGGCCAGACCGGCAGGGAACCCTGGAGCCCATCTTGGCCGTTTCCCTTCGGCTTCCCGGAGAGACGGCCAACAAAGGTGGAGACAGGCTTTCTCTGTGTAGTTTTGCGCCTTTCCTGGGACTCACTCTGTAGCCCAGGCTGGCCTCGAACTCACAGAGATCCGCCCGGCTCTGCCTCTGAGTGCTGGGATTAAAGGCGTGCGCCACCACACCTGATTATTTCTTTTCTTTTTTGGGAGGGGGGAGATTCTTCTGCACACTTAGTAGAAACCAGCCGCCATCTGCACTTTGTTCCTGCCCCTGAGCAAACTGAACAAGCTGGTCCCTATTCTGCATGACGGCTTTGTGAATAATGCTGGGTGGTCGGGGTTTCCGGTATTTACTTGTATTGTTTTTAGCCATGTAGGCATGTGTCTGCATGTGGGTCTGTGCACATGAGTGCAGTCAGACATCAGATTCCTGGAGTTATTAACAGTGTGAGCCACCTCAGGTGGGTGCTCAGAACTGAACGTGGGTCCTCCTGAACAGCAGCAAGTGCTCATAACCAATGAGCCATCTCTCCAGCCCCCTTGACGGATGGTTTTAAATCACCATCTTCTCATTTATAACATGGGACAGGGAGGGGCCAGCAAGGTGACTCCAGGAGTAAAGGCACCCACAGCTTGTGGGGTTTGCTGCTGTTGTTGCTGCAGCAAAAAGTTTTTATAATGAGAAAGTACACAAGAAACAAGGATGTGGTGCACATTTATTTAGTGTGTGTGTGGTTGGGGTGTGTGTGTGTGTGTGTGTGTGTGTGTGTGTGTGTGTGTGTGATGTGCACCTGTGTGTTGTGTGTGTGTGTGTGTGTGTGTGTGTGTGTGTGTGGTTGATGTGTGGGTGTGTCTGTGTATGTGTGTCTCTGTGTGTGTGTGATCTTGCAGGGGTCAGAGGATAACTTGCAGGAATCAGTTCTCTTCTACCATGAGGATCAGGCTTGGCAGAAAGTTTAACAGAGTAAACCAGCTCCTGGCCCAGTGTTCCAATATTTTTAAGTTCCATGCCTTTATTGACCTGGGCCATGGGGGGATAAAAAAGATACAAAGCAGCAGAAACCACTCATTTTACCCGCTGATATCCAATTGATGGCTAACCCGGGAAGCCACTCAGCCCCTCAAAAGAGGCCAGCATGCGCCCCATACAAAGCTCAGGGAAGCGATGGGCCTCTGTGGAAGCTGGCAGCTGGGGCCGAGCGGTGAGACTCAAGGGAAAAGCACTCCATTCCCAACACTACTGTGAGAACACGTGAAGGTGAGAGCCTAGGCCACGGGCAGACGGAGGGAGCAAGACAAACCAAGACTGTTTCCACAGCAAGAGAACCTGGGAGGGCAGCGAGCAGGCAGGGAGGGAGCCTCTGCTGGGGGAGCAGAAAGTCCCGCAGGACAGAGGTCTGCAGCGACCAGCAGGCTTTAAGAAGTCACCATAGGTGGAGGGGGGGGGACGCCCCTTTATCCCAGCACTCAGGAGGCAGAGGCAGGCGGATCTCTGTGAGTTCCAGGGCAGCCTGGTCTCCTGGCCAGAGAGCTGCAGGACAGCCAGGGCTACACAGAGAAACCCTGTGTTGAAAAACAAAACAAAACAAAAAGAGGAGGAGGAGGAAGAGAAGGAGGAGGAGGAGGAGGAGGAGGAGGAGGAAGCAGAAGCCACTCCAAGCTCACTGGTCTAAGAGACCTCAGGTCACAGGTCCACAATGCAGGGAACATCCCCCCCCTCCCTGCCCCCATCTCTCTGGCCACTGAACCCTTGACCCCAAGGCTGCCTGGCCACTCCTCTAAGCACCTGCTCCTCCCAGATCCCTGCCTGGGTGGGTGGGGGCTGGGTTTGTACTGAGGTTCCCAGAGGAGTGTGGGAGGTCCCACTGGGGTGTCAGCCAGATTTGGGGAGCCTGCATCAAGCCTGGGATGCTGTATGTCCCTGAATGATAGACAAGGACAGCCCCAAAGCTGGGGGCTAAAGGCAATGGAAGCCACTGGTGCTTCCAATCGGGAGAGGGCCAGAGCCAGAGCACCGCTCTAGAAAACCAGCCCATGACGATGGTTTGAAAGAGGACCAAGAGAATGTAAGTCTTTCTAGGAGGAGGTGGAGACAGCAAACGGCCTGGGCCAGGGCTGTGGACTAAGGGGAGGGGGTGACTAGGGCAGAGCTGCGGGGGAACTGAGAGCCTGGTGACAGAAACGAGGCCGGACAGACCTTGGGACAGCAGAGCTCACAGCCTTCCTGCGGAGCCCCAATCAGTGCTGCAAAGACTGGGTCACGTCAAGGACAGGCTGGGAGGGGTTCTGGGAGGGCCACCCGGGCAACTGCTGGAGAAGTCGGCCCCTCTCAACCTACCATCGATCCGGCTGACAAGCTCCTCCAGTGCCTTGACCTTCTTCTGGATCCCTGGCTGTGCAAAGGTGTAATTATCCTGCAAAGGACACAGAGCCTGGGGTAAGAGTGTCCAAACCGGCTGCCTACCACACACAGCGGGAGCTCATGCCGACACAGGCTGCTCTGCTGCCGTGGCTGATCTGGGGGGGTGTGCATGCATGTGTGCATGTGTGTGTGTTTGCACGTGTTACACAGGCCAGGGTAATCTCAAGTATCACTCCTCATCTTGTCTTTTGAGATAGGGTCTCACTGAGACTGGAGCTCACGGAGGAGGGTGGTACCTCTCCAGTGCCAGGGATTAGGCTCAGGTTCCCTTTATTAACTGAGCCATCTCCCCAGTCCCCGAAGCACATAAGTAGGCCAGGGGCTGGAGAGAAGGCTCGGTGGTCAAGAGTGCACACCCTCTTCCCGAGGACCCACTGCGGTTCCTAGCACTCACAGCCAGTGGTCACAGCAGCCACCTCAAACTGCAGATCCCAGTGACCTAGCCCCTCTGGCCTCCATGAACACCTGCACTCATTCCCACATACCCACACACAGACACACGATTAAAAACAGAATGAACATGTTTTAAAATTCACCAGTGCTAACAGCTCGTGACAGGTTTTAGAAAACAAAGGGATTCATAAAACTGCGGCACGTGGTGGAAGGCGGATGGAGCCCAGCATTGTGGTTGACCACAGGATCTGGGGACAGAGTAGAGAGCAAGAGCCCTCTCTGAGGACAGCTAGTGTAGCATGGTGGTCTCCTCAGATCATTGTCCAGTGAAGCTAACGGGGGGGGGGGGCAGAGGAGCACTGGCAGGGGATGGCCCTGCCGGACACAGAAGAGCCGTAACGACGCAGAAAGCTAAGAGAGCCCTGAACCTGGCTGGGCCGCTCACCTGGATCCCGTCCAGCAGCTTGCTCATACACCAAAAGCTGTCTGCTTCAATGCTTCGCAGCATGTCCTGAGACAAGTTGGTCACGTCAAAGTTCTCCACATCCTCTTCTGTAAAACAGAAGGTGAAGAAAATCCAGAGCCTTATGTAAAAACCTACTGTGGTCCATGGAGTGCCTCGCATTTCCCAGGGATCCCATCCTAACGCTGACCGGGCCATTTCTCACTCCAGCCCAGCACACCTTGTTCTTCCTTGGCATTTCTCACTTAGATTTTTAAGAAAATGACCACTCAGGACTTTTGCTCAATGAATGGTCTGGAAAAATTCTTTGATTACAGACGTCCAGTGAGCTGTCTACCACGCTCACAGGACAGCTGGGTAGGAGCCCTTGTTCAACATAGGGATGGACTCCCTGAATGCTGGCATTAGACTCAGCACAATGTGGGAGCCTCTGGGACTTAATTCCATCATGCTGGTATTTCTCACTGATACAGGATACACACACACACACACACACACACACACACACACACACACACACACACGAGTTTTGTAGACAAATGAGAAACACTGTATTTCTATTATCACCATCTTGGAGACTCAGCAAGACCATAATATCCATAGCATACAATAGGATACCAAGAGTTACAAGAAAGAGTCCGTTAAGCTTGAGCACAGGGCCTCTCTTAGAGGACTACTAACTTAAAAGTGTGTGTGCGTGAGTGGGTGTGTGTACCTGTTCATGTGCACATGTTTATATGCCATGTATGTGTAGGGACATGCAGAGGCCAGAGAGCGTGTCAGATCCCTGGATGGAGTTATAGGCAGGGCGGTTGTGGGTACTGGAACTGAACTCAGGTCCTCTGGAAGAGCAGGAAGCTGTCTTAACCACTGAGTCATCCCTGCAGCCCAAATGTCTACCAACTCCTCTCGGAGATTCCAGTTAGTAACAGGGATGAGAGGCTGTCTGCTCCGAGGCCCAAGCAGAGGAGATTAAGAAACTCAACGGGGAAGGCCAAGGGTGTCCCCTTTGTGGGCATCGTTAACCAGCACTCCCTGCCTATGCCCCTCAGCTCTGCACGAGAGGCAGCTTTTCCCTCAGACCCATCAGCACTGTTTAAAAAGTGTCCACTGCATGCATTCCCTTGTGCCAGGGAGACGCAGTCAGCTGACTGACAAAACACATCCAGAATCCCATCCTTGCATCCGTGGGAATTACAGAGACCTTTATCCACAAGGCTCACAACATTTAACAATTCCTGGAGTCCCGTTCTGCCTGTATCATGACACAGCACGTATGTGGAGGTCACAGGGAAACTTGTGGAAGCCAGTTCTCTCCTAACACATAGGTCCAGGGGATTGAACTTGGGTCCTCAGACTTGACAGCACACCCCTTTACCCGATGAGCCATCTCACCTGCCCAAGAACTGTTCTGTTGTAGCTTTTATGAACATCAAGGGCTACTTAGGGATAGCAGAGACAGAGACAGAGGGGGATGCTGCTGGAGACAGTGGACTACTCGTCAGGAAAGCTAAGATGGCCAGAGTTGACATCTGTAAAGTGATAACCTCCATGCCTTGCACACGGCAGGCACACAGATTACATGAGATGAGGTTTTCCAGGAATGATGAGCTGCATTTATAATGCAGTGTGATGCAGGAGGCATGCCATGGCTTTAACGGGAGAGCAAGGAGTAACATTGTTCACGGGAGACTCCCAACTGCTGCCCATGCGGCATCCGAGCGTGCTTCCCGAGCAGAGGCAGAACAGAACACACCTCTGCCCTACTGTGCCGGCTCCCCAGGTGCTGGGAAGAAAGGATTTCATTCTTTAAGTTCTCCTGGACTTTAAAAAATTGCTAAGGATGCGGGGTGGTAGTGGTGCACACCTTTAATCCCAACACTTGAGAGGCAGAGACAGGCAGATCTATGAGTCTGAGGCCAGCCAAGTGCATAGAGAGATCCAGGACAGGCTCCAAAGCTACCCAGAGAAACCCTGTCTCAGAAAAAAAAAAAAAGAAAAAGAAAAAGAAAAAAAGCTAAGGTTAGCATAATTTTAGAGTAGCCCAAATGTACACTGTTTTTGAGGGGGAGCCACATTGACCTTTTATCACCAAAAATCAACAAAAATTTTGTAAAACAATACTAACCTAACAGAAATGAAGAATCAGATACTATACAAAGATCCAACAGAGAAATTAAAATAAAAAAACTTCTAAGAAATATCATTTCTCTAAGGTAAGAACTCTTATGCAGTAGTTTTGGAAGGCCGTATGTGTTATTCAGCCGACTCCACGCGCTCCTCCTGATAAGGAAGACCATTATGTTCCGAGGGGCCCCAGGCTTCTGTGTGGACCTCTAGCTCACTCCTGCTCAGCCGGCCTCCACTCGTCGGGATTCCTCGAGGGGTGAGAACCCAGTCTGCCTCCACCGCTCACAATCACAAACACTGCCCGGAGAACGGCTCCAGGGCCCGGGCCCTGGCAGCTCCTTCTTCGCCAGTGGGCACAGGACTCACTAACCCATCCTTGGCGACAGCTCCCCAGGTATGAGACAGGGGTGCAAGGTTCAGACAAGACCACAGCCCCTCTCCTCACACATTTCCCAAAGGAAAATACAGAGCTTCATAATCATTTATTTTTGATTTTTTTAACCCTTATTTAAAAAAAAGTTTAGATTTTCTTACTTTATACATATGAATATATATATGTGCACCATGTGCATGCCTGGTGCCCAGCTGCCAGAAATGGCACAGAATCTTTAGGACGTGAGTTATGGGGGGTTGTGAGTCACCATCTAGGTGGTGGGAATTGAACCTGGGTCTCTGCAAGAGCAAAAATGCTCTAATGTGGCTGAGTCATCGTCGACCCTTAATCCACCTTTATTTTGTGGGCATCTGGCCTGCATGTGCGCCTGTGCACCACGTGGATCCCCGGGGACCGTGGTTACAGACGGTTGTGAGCTGATCCAGGGACCTCTGGACGTGCAGCCACACTGCTGAGATCTCTTTCCAGGGCTGTTCTGATTTCTAGCTGTGTGCCCATGTGGGGGACATGGCCGTGGCAGACAGAGAGCACTTTTCAGGAGTCCACCCTACTGAGGGGGTGTCTCTCCTGTTCCCGCCTGTTGCATATTCCAGGTGATTCTCCTGTCTCTGCCTTCCCATCCCACTGAAGGCATGCTGGATTGCAGACACACGCCACCACATCTGGCATCTTCCATGGGTTCTGGAGATCTGAACTCAGGTGGCTGGGCTTGCTCAGCAAGTGTTTTCATCTGCTGGTCATCTCGCCAGGTCAATGATTTTTTTTTTTAAGATTTATTTATTTATTTATTATGTATACAATGTTCTGCCTGCATGTGTGCCTGCAGGCCAGAAGAGGGCACCAGATCTCATTACAGATGGTTGTGAGCCACTGTGTGGGTGCTGGGAACTGAACTCAGAACCTTTGGAAGAGCAGCCAGTGCTCTTAACCTCTGAGCCATCTCTCCAGCCCCAATAATTTCTTAAAATTCTATAATTTTGATATTTTTATTATTTATTATTATTTTGTGATAGCATTTTGTTACACCATCAAGGCTGTGTCCTCAAACCTACGATCCTCCTGCCTCTGCCTAAGGGCTGGGATTACAGATGTGTGCCACTGTGTCCAACCTTCTAGTAACCTGGGGTCCTTCAACCTGGTCGCTTTAGCGTCCTAGCACACTACAAGCGGGGCCGGCAAGCACACAGAGCAGAGCCACAGAGACAGTGGAGGGCCCGGAGACAACGGGGTCGGGCTGCCTCGCCAGACCTGCCGCCTGCCGTGTGCTGTGGATATCACTCTATATAAATAAAACACTGATGGCCAGTGACCAGACAGGAAGTATAGGTGGGACAAGGAGAGAGGAAAATTGGGGAAAGAGGAAGAAGGAGGGAGACATTGCAGCCACCGCCAGGACAAGCAGCATGTAAAGACGCTGGTAAGCCACCAGCCACGTGGCAAGGTATAGATTTATAGAAATGGGTTAATTTAAGATATAAGAACAGTTAGCAAGAAGCCTGCCACGGCCATACAGTTTATAAGTGATATAAGCATCTGAGTGATTATTTTATATGTGAAATGTGGGGCTGCGGGGCTTGGTGGAACCTGGAGAGAAGCCCTCCAGCAACAGGCGTGCTTTGTGGTGAAGGGTTCCCTCTGAAGCCAGGCTGCAGAACTCAGTCTGGGCTGTGCCTCTCACTGTCTCGGTCACTCTGGACATAGCACCGCTTTCTGTCCCTCAGCTCATCATCTGTTAATGAGCAGTGACACCAGTGCCAGCCCGGGGACGAGGCGAGGACAGTTAAATGTGCGGTGCTAACCGCTGCTGACCGGGATTCTACGGTCATCACTAGGGAAGGACAAACACACCACTGTCTGGTTGAGGCCACTGACGTCTGCTCTCTATTATCTGAAGCCACACTGAATCTGAGAGACAAACCCACCACCCCAAAGTATACCTAAAAAGTAAGTCAAAACCAGGTGGTGATGGCGCACGCCTTTAATCCCAGCACTCATAGGCTGAGGGAGGTGGATCTCTGTGAGTTCAAGGCCAACCTGGCCTACAGAGTGAGTTCCAGAACAGCCTACACAAAGAAACCTTGTCTTGGGGAACAAAGGAAAAAAATCAAATTTCAAAGTTTGTTTTTCATTTTAATTTATTTGTGTGTATGTGGTGTGTGCATGCACACACCTATCGTGTGTGTGTGTGTGTGTGTGTGTGTGTGTGTGTGTGTGTGTGAGCGCATGCACAGCAGTACCACAATGCTCCTGTGGAGGTCAGAGGACAACCTGGGGGAGTTGGTCCTCTCCGTCTACCGTATGGATTCCAGGATTGAACTCAGGTCCTAAGGCTGGTGGCAACCTCCTCACCTGAGGGGCCCCCTCACCTGAGGAGCCCCCTCACCGGCCCTACTTCCCAGCTTTCTGCTCCTATCTTTCCGTTTTAAGTAGGAAAAATCACATTTAACAAGGAGTCACAAGTTGGCAAGGTGCTCACTCAGTAACTGCACCATCTCCAAACCTTCAGCTATGCGGAGGGGGGGGAGGGACTACAGATGAAGTGAACCCTGTCTGGGGGTCTCAGGT